TCGTTCGTTCAAAATGGGCGAAAATATAGCATTTTCCTTGAAAGTGAGAGCCAGCGCAGTTGTTTTAATGGCAAACACATGTTCTGACCGTTAGGCATGCCTATGGAAGAGGTAGACCCTAGTCTTGATCTTTAGATTTCTTTTGCCTGATACGATATTTAAGGTATTTCGACGGTGCCTACCAAGAAACTTCACTGAAACACTTTCAGCATTTGACCAGTAGACCAATGGAAAGTAGTTGTTAGAGAAAAAAGTCATCCTTGCAATTTAATCAGATCTCATACCAGAAGACAGTTGAAGAAAATTTACCGTTCACATGTTTCATGTCCGTTGTTGAAGCCCTCGTGAAAGAAGCCCTCAAATTAGAATAAGAACGAATTCAACGTGCACTAGGTTATTAACTGAAGTTGAGCATGCAAGTGCAACGAGTGTGACCTGTTCGGCCGAGGATCACCTCTGCCACTCCGTTAAAAGTTATCGGCCTTAAGATAATACTTTTCTTCTTTATGAAGAATCGAGCTTTATGACAGAAGGAACAATAAAGCATAGAAACCATCAGAACAACGGGACAGACACATGAGTGGGAGGTGAGTCGGGGAGAGGTTGGTGGAGTGATGAGAGGTTGGTTTAAACTTCGAATTCAAAGAAAAGCGTCTGCCAACGAATAATTCCCCTGAACAACGCATTCGCCTCATTTTGCTTTGGTGCAGCCAGGTGAGAAACCGACTGGCCTTGCTGGCCTGCGAACAATAGGGCCGTGCTGTCTGAAGCGAGAGCGTCTAACGGCTGCAGTTCGCCTTGATGCACCTGACAGCTGACTATCAAGCGTGATTATCAGCACAATGTGTAAAACAGAAAAAAACAAGTCTGACACTGCTACGTGAACCATACAAACAGGATAATGACGGCATCGTTGATGAACATAGATTAATGTGAAATCCGAGCAATGATTCGGATCGATACAGCATAGGTGGTGCTGACCTTAAGCTGACCTGTTCGGCTTATGCATCGATTGAACGCAACAGCGCGTAATGACGGTAAACATATGGTCACAAACACAAACCGGGTGGAGTAGTGAGGTTTACAGGAGGCGAACGAAACAGGCTGCCAAACTCGAAAGTGGAACAAATCCGAGCAAGGCAGTGAACGTGTTTACAGGCGACTAACGAGGACACGACAGACAGACTAAGAAACGTCATGTGATAGATTCGAGTTCGTTGCTGCTTCATTTACACCCACCACCAAGGTTTGTCGTTGCCTGTAATCCCGTTTGCTGGTTAACCATGGTTTGAACCGTCAAGCTGACATAACACAAGACTTGTACATTCTCTGAGAAGAGCAGGCACCAGAACAGAAACGAAACGAAACGAAGAAAGCATCCGAACAGACGTACCTGAAGTTCCGGCTGGCCACCGGTCACCTAGTGATAGCCGCTGTGGGTGAACTGATGAACCGAGAAGTGCAATGCTCGTCGGGGAGGGACGAACGCTCGCCGCAGGTCAGTCATTAAGGTAGGAGGGGAAGCTGAAGCCCGGAGCCGACGTCCGTTGACCAACGCGTTTTACTTCACTCACTCAAGGCCGAGCTTCAGTCAGTGACTCTGCTGTGGCCGCAGTGGCGTGGCGTCGTCGACGGGGTAGGCGTGTCGACTGTTTGTACACATGACTGTTGGATGGCTTTGGAAAGTTTCGCGCGCGCTGCCGTCGTCGTCGTCGTCGTCGTCCTAGTCTGAAACTGACGGGACGAGACACCGGCAGACACACCGGCGGAGGTGCAGAGGCGCAGAGGCAGGGTGCGTGCGAAAC